CATTTGTGACCCTGGAGCACAAAAGCAGTCTTAAGTTGCTGGGGTATATTTGTAGCAATAGCCAAAAATACATTGTATGGGTCAAAATTATTTTTTTTATGCCAAAAATCATTAGGATATTAAGTAAAGATCATGTTCCATGAAGATATTTTGTAAATTTCCTACTGTAAATATATCAAAACTAAATTTTTGATTAGTAATATGCATTGCTAAGAACTTCATTTGTACAATTTTAAAGGCAATTTTCTCAGTATTTTGATTTTTTTTTTGCACCCTCAGATTCCAGATTTTCAAATAGCTGTATCTCGACCAAATATTGTCCTATCATAACAAACCATACATCAATGGAAAGCTTATTTATTCAGCTTTCATATGATGTATAAATCTCAATTTCAAAAAACTGACCCTTATGACTGGTTTTGTGGTCCAGAGTCACAAATATGCCTGAGGGAGGAAGAAAGGTGTACAACTTAAAAGAAATTAATCATTAATATGTGTCGGTGTTACAGTTTATCTCATCAGATTTAATAGAAACAATCTTTTCTCATTAAGTAATCTCACTTTCCTAGACATAAAAGCAATACACACACTTTTCACATAATTAATTAACACTGTAGCCATCAAGAGGCAAAGCCGTTTTCACTGGAAATGGGTGTCACACCTTTATCTCTTTCATCTGGGTGCTTAACAACAGGCATGCTAAGGATCTGATAAAGTCTAAGTGAATAACTGTATGTAAATATCCACTTTAACCAATTTCCTACACAACAGCTGCAATTAAAGAGCCAATTAAAACCAAAAAGGACAAAGAACCAATGACTAGGCCTTGAGGACATTAAAATGTGCCCATCACTACTTAAGCTGGTCTCAGTGGAAATACCAACACTCTGAACTGATTCATAAATTGTAACTAATAGGACCAGTAAAATGTGCAAATAACAGACAACAGAGACAGCCTTGGGAGAGAATACATATTACTAAGATAAATTTCCAAACTCAAAGCCATAGTGGAAAAAGGAAATGTTTTTTATCTTGTAAAATAAACACTAAAAAATGCATCAGAGAGGACCAAAATCTCTAAAATGTATAAAGCCCTCGAAATGTTACATTTTAGTTAAATCGCTTAGCTAACCAGTACAGAGAAAACACATGGATTGTTTAATAATATATATGCACTAATATGATAATATTGTTGCAATGCTCGTTCTGTGGCCCGTTTTCAATGTTGCCATGCAAGACTGTGCGAACGATTCAAGCCATCTTACACGTAACCACTAATTTCGTAACTAAATATTTACTTATATGAAAATAGGGATACTGTATTTGCAGTTGGTCATTAGACTTGAACTGAAACGACAAGGAAAACATATTTTAAGTTATGTGTCGTGTATGAGTTACGTTGCGTATCTGACGCCGCACGTGCGCCAGCTTACAATAATAATAAACATTTCAGTTACATACCATGTGATACGATTCCCTGGAGATTTCTAAACTTCTCAATGCCTCTCAACAGACCAAACCATATAGCTTCAAGACTCCTGTTCACAGCGAGCAGAAAGTTAACTGAAGTTGTCCTGACGCTCCTGCGGGCTGCTTTAACATGCGCTTGGCATCAAAGCACAACCACTACACACAATGAGCTACAATAAATTAAGCCCCCTTGGGTTGAAGGACTTTTCTCAAGTTGCCTTCCTGTGACACCCCTCCCCCAACTCCAGACTTACCAGCATCCCCATCACGTCCGACCAGAGACGGGAGAAACTGTCCGATGATGCGGCGCTGGCCGCCTGCGGCTCCTCGGGAGAAGACACTTGATCCTCCTCCATTGTCAAACACTGATGGATTTACAGCCTCAAATTTCACGTTGATGAATGTTAATCCTAAAACCATAAAATACTTCCAGAAGTCTTTTAAATCTGCGTTAGTATTTCGCTATTCCGTGGTGCGTGTTCAAAAGTCGATGCAAAGTATTCCGTTAAAGTACAGAAATACATATTCATCAAGGTCGCTGATATGTTTTCCATTTAAATCCAGCTGAGCGCACACCGTACAGACAAACTTCAACTCAAGTATAGCCGGACAGATTTCAGGCAGATTCACTTGGCACTCCGTCGGTGCGAACCAACCCAAACTTTAGGGAGTTCTCTTTAGTGCACGATATAAAAAGTCTTAATAATTACAATACGTAAGTACCATCAAAGCCAATCCCGGCGAGACAAACAACGTTCCGAAGTAACCACGACAGCACCATTCAGCTACAACACTGACGATTTTTGCGCTTGAGTTCTCCAGCCTCCCCCTCTTCAGCGCAATGGTTTACTCCGCCCAAACAACACACGGCTCTCGCGCTTCACTGCCACAAACGGGACAAACTGATCCTCGCTAACTTCACCAACCTATGAAGACACAAGAGACCTTTGGAAAAGGGCATCTCTCCTTTCGCTTTTCCAGCAATACTTTCCCCACTATAAACAGACACAAAGGAACAAAGCGACATTTTGCTCACAATGCTTTCAAAAACAAAAGCCCATGAGAACATTATTTAAGAAGCATGACGTTATCCATGCATAACACTTCAAAGCACGTCTGAAAGTTTTACATACAGCAGTGTACTCAACCTTTTTGACTTAGGTTGAAATATATATCTTAAAATTTGACTGAAAACAATTATGGTATCAAATATTTTAAGATAAGGTTTGAAAGCAGTCTTTCAGATAAGTTAAACAAATTACTGTCATTGCAACAAAAAAACTTTTAATGTTGAAATATTTTATTTTGTCTAATATGTGTTAGCTCAAACTAAACAAACAAATATTGTGCCTTCAGTCACAAAGTTAATTTAGTAGAAAAAAATAACATGACAGTAATTTCATCCTCATGTAACATAATCTGTGACATCATAATCTTTCAAAAGATCTTGTAATGTGGCATCTGACCATTGTGGTTATCCTGGAGGGAAGATTTAAAGGCACAGCGGTTTCACTAATCTAACTAACCTCTGAGCTCCTGTGTAATTTGAGCTGCAGTAAACCAGACAACAGGACAGAATTAAATAAATGTGCGCATTCAAAGCTGTGGATGACTTGGATATTTCTCCTGTCAGGCCTGTTTATTGCAAAAAAAGTGGCTATACATGTCTGTTCTTCTTCTCTCCTCTTTCTCCTTTGCTTCCCAGAGACACATTCTCTGAAACAGTAACAACTGTCTAGTCTCCTGACAGATGCCAGAACAGCCTGAAAGAGAGATAGAGGGAAAGTGAGAGCGAGTCCCTCTTGTTCTATGTGAGAATTCCTCCATTAGTCATACAGGGACAGAGAGAAACCATCCATACGTGCAAATCTAAAAAAACATCTAAGTAGTATGCTTGATTCTCAATAATAATAATAAAAACTTATTTTTAGTGGTCTACACTATTTTTTTTTGTGAGCACCATCTACATTATACTAACTTGTGTCACCTCTCACACACACAGATACACAAATAAGACAAATACACACTTACTCAATGAAATTCATGCATATTGTAGCTAGAGGTAAAAGGGGGAATTACTTTCCCAGACAGGGACTCTAAAGCAGCTGCTAAACAGGCTTAATGTTTATAGCCTAAACATATAAAACACATGCTCAACTCTCTTTCAACCAATAGACATTTACATGATCTTTAATGCTCACATACTCGTACACAAGTTCATTAACTTTCTAAAATTCCTCTGAGGAACGTGGTTTGATTCAATATTCTGGAAGTGCTTTACCAGATGTCTGCTACTGTATGTGTGATTAGCACAACGTTTGCTCAAAAAAATGCTGTCAATCAATTTGGATCACAGAGGACCAGGAAGAGGTCAAAGCGTCAGGACACCATGTGTTTGTAAGGGAGTTCCCTGCTGAGTAAACAGAGTTTCTAACAGCACTAAATGGTAGAGCAAAGGTAATGCTCTATTGTTGAGACGCCATCTGGATTCAAACCAAAGTGTGTTGTTACACTAAAGGGCCTGTAACCTGCAGGGATTGCAAAACACTTCCACACACTTCAGGAAATACTTAACTCAACGCCAGGCCGCAGGGGGCCAACAGAGCATATAGATCTTAAGGAGGGAAAGTCAACACAGCTGCACCCGATTCATACCACCTATAAATATAACCAACATCAAATATGGGAAAGTGGCTCTATAGGCTAAAAACACGTGAGTCTGTCATTGTCTGCAATGAGATCATAACAAACAGTCGTTCCAGACATAATGAGCACACAAAATTGCTTAGATCTGTAAAATAGGGCTTATCCCATGCAAACGATTGAAATCTTTTTTGCTCATCTCTCTGCACCTGTGGCGCTGATGGTGGTGTTGTTGTGTAAGACACACACAGTGGCTCTCTTGCAGAGCAGTGATTGGTATTCCAGTGATCCACATGCTCAGTGGCGGAACTACTGGGGCCAGTTTGGCCTGGCTCACTGGATCTGTTTATATGGAAAGTACCAAAATGCTGGCCACCTGCAGCCTCTGGTTCTGTAGACTGCAAATCATTCACTGTTCTGCTATGATAAGCTACTTCAACTAAAGTTATGAAGTATGGATATGCCGAGCACACAAAATTGCTTAGACCTGTAAAATAGGGCTTATCCCATGCAAACGATTGAAATCTTTTTTGCTCATCTCTCTGCACCTGTGGCACTGATGGTGGTGTTGTTGTGTAAGACACACACAGTGGCTCTCTTGCAGAGCAGTGATTGGTATTCCAGTGATCCACATGCTCAGTGGCGGAACTACTGGGGCCAGTTTGGCCTGGCTCACTGGATCTGTTTATATGGAAAGTACCAAAATGCTGGCCACCTGCAGCCTCTGGTTCTGTAGACTGCAAATCATTCACTGTTCTGCTATGATAAGCTACTTCAACTAAAGTTATGAAGTATGGATATGCCTACTGAGCATAGGGTAACATCTACAGCTTTATCCACAGAGTCCACGGTGATGCTGGATGTTTGGATCTGCTGAAACTTAGGATGAAAGAAACATATTCTTCAAAAAAAATCTAAAATAAAGATAATAATAATACATTACCATTCATAAGTTTGGGGTCACAATCATTTTTTAAAGGAATTAATAATTTTATTCAGAATGAGTGTATTAATTTGATCAAAAAAGCATTTTAATGTTACAAAGGAGATGATTTCTAAAGGATCATTTGACACTGAAGACTGGAGTAATGGCTTCTGAAAAGTCAGCTTCGTCATCAAATTACATTTTAAAATATAATAAAATAAAAAGACTATTATTTTAAATTACGATAATATTTCACAATATTACGGTTTGGGCTGTATCTTTGATCAAATAAATACCGCCTTGGTAAGCATATGAATTTCCATTCAAAAACAAAAAAAATTATACTGCACTTTAACTTCTGAACAAAAGAGGAGCAAACAAATATGGGATGAAAAAGTGGGTTACCTTATCCTAATGTGATCTAACCAGGTCATTTTCACGAAGGGATATTTGGATGATAAAAAACACTTGCAGACATCACTAAAAGTTATAAACAGAGACAGTGACCATAAACATTTAATGACCTTCTGCAACAGGATATGAGCCGTCACTTTAATTAAACTGAGATTTATCAGTGTCTATTCATAAGATTTCATCTATACAAAATAAGCACTTTAAATGACTTTGTTCATAATATTTTTCATTAATAAAATTAAAAACATCAGTGCACAATTTTCCACACCACAATCTGTCAAGCACATCTCCAAACTCATCCTTTATAATAATCCTACTACTTGTCCACTTGACATGAGAGGACCAGATTTCATCCAAAATAAGCACTTTAAATGACTTTGTTCATAATATTTTTCATTAATAAAATTAAAAACATCAGTGCTCAATTTTCCGCGCCTCAATCTGTCAAGCACATCTCCAAACTCATCCTTTATAATAATCCTACCTACTGTCCACTTGATCCTATTCCATCTCATCTCCTTCAAGCCATTTCT